TCATTTCGTTGGCGATAGAACGGTTAGCGGTTGAAAGGTAACAATATCGAAATCATAGTGAAATGTGCTTACATCATAACACTTCCGTTGAGCAGTTTTCACATATCCGCCTGTTGGTGGCCCTTATCATTCCCCACTGGCGAACAACTTTGAGCTTTTACTTTTTGTCGAAACTCGGAAGTTTAGCGGTCTACTATAACGCTAAAGGATAGAAACACTGAGCTTTTGCCCATTGATTCCAAGGGCCACGGCGATCAACATCAGTCGCAAGCGGAGTAAAGTCCCACCAATGATGTCCCATCGGATGGAATGGAACTGACCCTTGCCGTACATATATCACAACTTATATTCCACCACCAATGCACCCTAACCACCTCTGAATTGGCTTACTGGAAGAAGTTCCCCAGTGTGCTACAACTCGTGCATTGAATTTTGTGGCTTCCTAATGTTCCCATCCTGCCCTCCCCCTCGTACTTCTTGGAACCGACGTCCCGTTGTTGCTGGGGCTGACGTTGTTTAGGTCACCCTCCCTTTGAAGCCTCCCTCAAGGTATCTTTATCAGCTGTTATCACTGCTGCATCCACCATTGATGTCCCATCCGCGCCTATCTTATCCTTGAATACCAACGTCTCGTTCGTATGCTGCGGCCCGCGCCATGGGATTGGGTAACCTTCTTAAGGGCCTCCTTATGGTATCTTATCAGCTGTTATCACTTCCTGCTACCCACCAATGATGTTCCCATCCTGCCCCCTATCTCACTTCTTGGATCCAACGTTCGGTCGTTGCTCTGCAGGTGTTATGAATTAGGCAACTCACTCCTCCTACAGGTCTCCTTATGGTATCTTATCAGCTGTTATCACTTCCTGCTACCCACCAATGATGTTCCCATCCTGCCCCCTATCTTAATTCTTGGAACCAACGTCTCGTCGCTGCTGCGGCCCGCGCCATGAATTAGGTAACCCACTCCTCCTAAGGCTCCTTATGGTATCTTATCAGCTGCTATCACTTCCTGCTACCCACCAATGATGTTCCCATCCTGCCCCCTATCTCACTTCTTGGATCCAACGTTCGGTCGTTGCTCTGGCAGGTGTTATGAAGCAACCCACTCATTTTAAGGCTGTATATCTATCAACTGTTATCACTTCCTGCCACCCACCAACAATGTTCCTGCCCGGCCCCCTACATCACTTATCAATTTGAGCGCACTATCGCTGTTTTGAAGGAAGTTATGAATTTCCGGTCAAACACATACAGACAGACACACACACACACACACACACACACACACACACACACACACACACACACACACACACACACACACACACACACACACACACCACCAACAGACAAACTTAGCGGATTATATATAGTAGGATAGGTCTATCAAGTTTGAGCATTTGCTAAGGAGTGCAGCATCCGCAGAGTTGCTCTACCTGTTATGATTCGACCAATACAGCGTGGTATGAGCAACCCAGTGATTTAAAAAGTTCCGTTTCCCATTATGGAGGCGCCTGGCGAAGCCAGGCCAGCTCGGCGAAGCCGAGCTAAAGAAGAAGGAGGAGAGCTCGGCGTCAGCCGGGCGATCCGACTGTAAAAAAAACAGGGTCCCTCTAAAAAAAGCGCTTCTTTCGTACGTTGGTTGGCAAGGCACCTCATATGTGATGGTTATAATTTCGGGGACAATTCAACTTTAGGCCAGAGCATGGACCATTTAGAAATTGGGTCGAAAAAACCCGTAAAGGCTCACGATATAACGCTTCACTGAGCGGTCACGTTGCACTAAAAAAAGAACTATGCCTTTTTCCCCGAATGAAGAGCACCCACACTAAGGTCGCTATTCAGAAAGAAACGTGACTTTTACTTCAAACGATACCTTCATTGTCTCCGTGGCCGGTATCAGAATCACAACTCGAGTGTGATGACTCCACATCCATGCCAACGTCTTCATAATTATCCGTTTTCTCTGACAAATTTGAAAGCTGCGGTCCGATATGCGAGGGTATGTGGATACTTATGGGCCTCGTCCTTTGTGAAAATGGAGCTGTATCATTCGGCTTAGCGGTTGTTGATAGCTGCGCTACCCGTCCACCTCCTTCACGAACTTGAATCCTAATGGAAGAGGGATTACAGCTTCCAACCATACTCGCAGGCTTCTGAAACGCTCCTTATCAGCATTTCAAACAACAGCAACAGTTTCAAATAAAAGCAGTAGATTCAAAGTATGAAAAAACCTTGATAATGGACAGGTGCAGAGCTATGTGATCATCGAACAGTTCATCCCGCGATTAGATTAAGCTAGACCAGCCATTCCTCAAACCTTTTTCACCCCTTCAAGCTTTCAAGGACCTGGCTGGTTAAGGAACCATTTTCACTGAGCACTTGTAGAAATTGGTCCAACGCCAGTCATTTCTGTGTACAACACCAAACAATCAAAGACGTCCGCTGGGATTGCCGAGTGAGTGGCCCCAATTGAACGATTTATTTGTGCCGCGTTCTCTTGGCAATGAAATACTTGATGAATATGGCAGCACTAATCACACTGTTTCCTAATAAATCCTTACAGTGTCTATAAGACCGCCACAAACACGTCACACGTTCACTGAACAGTCAGGAAAAAATTTACTGCTCAGGCAAAAATCCTCACCCCCTGTAAAACAATGAGAACAAAACTGGTGTGATACAGTCCAAGCAGTGTATACTTAGCATCACTCCTCCCCTGTTTTCGACTCACGAATTCATATCAAAAAGGAACCACCTCCACGTACTAGGCCTAAGCCGTTGAAATGAATTCACTTAGTCTGGGTGCTGAGATAACCGTATCGAACAAAGCAATGACTGCTGGATTGATACACTTTTGCTAGATATCCAAACAAAAATCACAAAAAATTATCTATAGACTTGTTCAAATTTTTTTATAACCACCATTGCAAGCCTAATTCTGATGGTAACTAGACATGCTTCCAGTAGCGGATGGAACAGAGCTCCGCCATACCGCTATCAGGTGAATAATGACTTCATACTTACCGGCAGAATGGGAGGAGCTGGTGGAGGAGGCAGTAACACAAAGTTCTTGTCATTTACTGTTGGCTGCAAATAGGAAAATGTGAGATCAACCTATCACACCCATGTGCATAATGAAGAAGAATATCCCACCGGCGCTTGAGGTCGAAACGGAGTGGGCGTTGGTGGTAGAGGTATGTGGGGAAGACCATCGGAACCATTCGATAAGAGATGATTCATAACAGTAGTGGACTTTGAGGAATGTGGAGAGCTGAAGTTAGACGCGGCTTTTTTGCAACAGAAAAGGGAAATACAAGTGAAATAGCCGAAAAATAAATCGATTGTTGTATAGCATTGCGCCCGGCGATTTCGTGCACTGAATACAAACAACAATTTAGCAATACCCCTGCACTATTGCTGCGTTTTACGCACGCAACGATGCCAAGAGACGCTTGTAACGCAACAAATGCCAGCATTACCTCGTTAACCCTGAAGTGACAGTGTTTTCTGTAGGCCGTCCTCCTTGGGAAACAGTTCGGGTTTGTGAAAAGATGTCTGCCGTGTTACCTAAAACCAACAACAAGTTGACCTACCGCAGAAAATCCTGCAGAAATCGATTTATGAGAACCTCTGTGTGCATTGACTGTGACAGAAATATGGTTGCCCGAATCAACCACTCTCTTGAAAGGTCGACTTTCATTGCCCACGTGAGAAGTTGACGCTTCCACGATCCGATCAGAAACTGAACTTTTCTTCTTCTCTTTTAGCGTTGAAAGTACAAAATCGGTGTTAGGGCCTGGAAATGCTTAATTATAAAGAGAGTTCAACTAAACTTAGCTGAAGAAAATAATACAAACTAATTTGAGAAGAAGGAAGCGTGAGGGCAGAGCTCAGACCACAACGTGCCTTCGAACTGGACAAAGGGGTTTTCCCTTGTGTCTCCTCACGTTGTCTTTTTGAACGGTGTGACGAAGACGAACTAGAGTGCAATGCTGAACTACCACCCCTGTCTTTACGTTCCTGGTTATCGGAGTGAGAGCCTGTAATGAAAACCTCACCAGTAATAATTGAAGACATCTTGGGACTCAAGGTTAATATGAAGTAGAGCAGAATCGGTACCTGATACTGATCCACGCGTTGAAGTTCTTGCAGGTTTCTTTTCACTGATGTAGCTTCTTTGAGTGGAATGCCTCCTGTGATTGTCTACGATTCGGCTAGAACTCCTCTCGGACGACCTCTTCCTGTCCCTGTCGTTTGGACCATCTCTTCTATCCAAATGAACCGATTTGCGGGTCACTTGAAATACTCATATATACCATTTTCACTTTGAATTAACAAACAAAATTCACCACTTTCCAAAGCAATTTCACCACTAAAGCAAATTCACCACTTTTCAAACCAAATTCACCACTCTTCTTACACCAGGCAGTTCACCAACCAAATCACGCCAGACACCACCGACGAACGCCCTGCCTACCGACGGTTGCCTTGTCAAGAAAACGTCAAAAAAGTCTGTGTCAAAAACTGCGCCCGAATCGAGGATAAACTGAGATCGGTCCGGAGGGTTAATAGTGCCAGAATATCTAAAAAGTTACTGCAGGTATACTTTCACAAACATAGCAGCTAAACACCACGAAAGATGGAAAAAATAATGGACTTACTTTCAGAAATCTAGATAAAACTACAAAAAACATTACAAATGGAGAGAAACTATTACCAGTCTTCCTCAATCTAGACGACACTGGCCCCTCTTTTCGTGATCGTGAAGTGGGCCTTGACGTTCCCGATCCATCTAAAAGCGTTCTGCTTTTACAACTGAACTGAAAATCTTTAGAAAAAAACACTTACCTTCATCAGTCACCTCACCATCTTCCCTTTCTTTTTCTACGACTGCAATCTTGTTTTGCAGTGATTCTATAAGTCTCAAGCGCATTGACAGTGTTTCTGGATCCTCGTCTTCTAGCTGCAATCACGAAATTCGATGGTGAATAAAGACTCACTACTGTGTCCCTTATACTGCATGGCACACAATTTCATTTATTTTGCGGCATACGACGTGTATTTTGAAAATTTGTTCCAGCGATTTAAATAGTCCCGTATTATTCAAGAATTATTAGGTTGGAATAACCAGACTATAGCTTCTAAAGGATGAAGATAAAGTCTTCGCCGATGACCAGTCCCTTTTTGGATGCGGCATGCATTCTACTTTCATTCAGAAATCGGTAAGTGCTTAGCTGAATTCGATGTGGAATCTAACAATGACTTTGCGCAGGTCAGTCGTTGTACGAGTCAATGTTATTATTTTCCCAACTCAGAACGATCTGGTACCAATTCACCGTCCCAAGAGGGGTAGAAGGTTTGGTTGGCCTGAACAGAGCCGATGCGAGACTTGAGCACCAGACCGCACGCGTGTTCAGCGTGCCACTTGACTTTGTACCATCTCCGCCTCGATGCGATCAAACTGGTAGAAAAGCTACGGTTTGAGGAGATGTTGTCACACTGACACTCCAGTGGGCGTCAGTTGCCTCGGCCCCTTTTTGCGTTAGTGTTCACAGAATCGGACAACTAGATGAGACCAAGCACAGCGATCAGAGGAAAGGTCACTTCCACGGTTTTATGAGACCGCGCTTTGCAGTTTTTGCCTCCGTGAGGCTGAAATTAAACGGCACTCATCGGCCTCAAGAGCTGGAAAGCGACGACAGAGACAGCAGTTAGTTGAGACCATCGGCCAAGGATGCGGTGAAGATGCCAAAGGTTGCTGTAATCCTTCAGTGTCACTCAATGACACCTTACGCGTTTACCTGACAGGCAAAACAGTAATGTAGCCCCCATATATAGGTCCCCACAAGGGAAGTCTTTCAGGTCGTGGCGCGCTTTTTAAAAATGGTTTGTTGCTTGTTGTAGGGGTCCATACAAGGATTACAAAAATGGGTTTCATTTTTGCTATGCGTTTCTGGGGAGGTCAAAAACTGGTGAAAACAATTTGACAAGAAAGGGCGATTTTAACCGTCTTATTGGGCTCTGTTGTAGCTGTAACTTTGAGAGTGCATAGTTTATGAAGTGTTCCTTCACTATGTATACGAAAAAAGATGTGCAGAAATAAAGTCAAAAAGAAAGTGCCGAGAAAGGTAGCTACGAATTACTTCAAGCGACTCCCGCCATTGTTTTGTGGTTGGCGGATAGCGCTGTGGATAGTGCGGTCGGCTCTTGCGGAGAAAGGTTTGAGGATCGGATCCTCATGGCGCGGAATTTTTTGCATTTTTCGGATACTTTATGCGTTTTTCGGATTTTTGTCTCCTTGTTCCTGCGTGCGTGATGATGTATATAACATGGATATATGCCATTTAAGAGCTCATTCTGTACACTCAAACTTCACGAGTCGACCCTACTTAACTATTGCGCTCTCGAAACATTACTGAGGAAACTCTTGCTGAAAGTTGGGCTACGGGGATGACTGGATGCCCTACTCACGAGTACGACACTCATTTTTGACCACGGCGCAGCCTATCGCCGATTTGCTGCAAGAGCATTCTTGCACTGAATTGTTGTCAACCCGCACGCATGGGCTGTTAAGCGCTCAGCTCGAGGAGAAAATTTTCGCTGAAAGTCTGTATATAGAGGTTATTGACGGCCCTGATCACGGTTCTGACCTTTATAACTGGCGCCTAGGTCATTTGGCGCCAACATGGCTCTGAATACCCCCCCCCTAACTGCGGGTTGGGATGCTGCGAGAATCACTTGAGAAACTACAATGCTGCCTCACTGTGTGCCAAATAAAGTTTTTTTCACCTTGACTTGTATTGTTTTCGATGCAGTGTCGACGAAGGTCTCATTTGCTGTGCATACTCAACATTAGAGATAGAAAAAAAGCCTAGAAAAATGGTTCAAAATCGCCTTTCCCCAGCAAAAGAAAAAAGCCTAGAAAAATGGTTCAAAATCGCTTTTCCCCAGCAAACTTTTCACCCATTTTTTGACCTCCCCAGAAGCGCATAGCAAAAACGAAACCCATTTTTGTGATCCTTATATGGACCCCTACAACATGCAACAAACCATTTCTGAAAAGCGCGCCACGACCTGAAAGACCTCCCTTGTCAGAGGCTGTATAACGTTCGCGGCTTCGAAAGTGAGCGACGAGGGTCCAACCTATTACTAGCTCTATAAATGCTGCTTATTGGCTGAACCAAGGCATGAACGGAGTTGCAACATATATGTGCGACTGCTCATCTCTTTGAAGAAAGATCGCACAGACTGTAGCTCGTCCAGTGTTGGGACCCTATTAATGACGTCCTCGACTGCTTCGTTCTCATCACTGCCAAGCAACTGGCATCTACGAATTTATATTTTGGACCTTGAAGTCCACGAGTTGTCGCCAATTAGTCCAAAGTCCATCGTCAAATGGTTCGTAAATCAGCTGTATTTGTAAACCACTCCATTTCAAAGAATGCGAGTGGACGGATGCCTTCGTTAAAAAGACTGAATGAGACAAACCAGCGTGGTTGTAGGGCACACAAGTAACACAGCTACTGCTTAGGCATACCACTAGATCCCCCCTAACGATTGAGAATGCAATGAAACGATTCGGAACTGGGAGCAATGTAGGTTCCATGAAGGCCTAAATACGAACCATTTGTGAAGAGTGAAGGCTTATGGGTGTCAACACGTCCCTTGGACATTGTAACACAGAAAGGGCATTACGGTTTAGAAAAGAAAATCTTTAGATCAGTAAAAACGTACTTCCAATCTGCAGTCCTCACTAGGTCCATTACCATTTTGGAGTACTGCAACCGGCGGAGGAAGAGTTTTCGATTCCAACATCTGAATTAAAGGCTTATACGAACCCAGCGGTTAAGATTCAAACCAAACATGTCAACATTAGTTCTTCATCATTTTGCATCGAAAAGCAATCGAGAACAAACTAATCGTAAGTAGGGATTCCCGGCAGCCTCACTTGTACGAATTCCCCGGACCTGCTTGTTTCATGGCAATAAAGCTATATCCTGCCTTCAGCTTACTAATAAGTTATTCGTGTCGTCTAGAGCTAAAACCTATCTACCAATGGGAAAAACAACCAAAAATACAATTCAGAAACGAAACTGTGACAGAAAATGGCCTTCGAGTGCATCTTGTTAAAAACTGGGATTTGCGAAATACTATTCAACGAACTATGGCACCAGTGCAGCTACATCATTGGTGAATTTGAACGGAATTACCTCTCGAGGATTGCTGTTAACTGTACATGCTCCTAGTGAGAAATAGTAATGAAGGAGAGTAGAATTACTCATGAGCACGAGCGCTTGGCGAAAAAAAAGACATGCAATTCGGATTTATGCCCGCCGATCCACTAAACAACAACTGAGCTCTCCTGCGTCAGCTGTTCAGGGAACATTCGTAGGTACGCGGCCCAACTCAGCGGGTGTCACAGCTACAAGTTTCGATGATTGTTCACTCATTTTGGAGTCACAATAGTGGTACAATCGCTGACTGCGCGGTCTGGACTACTTGCGCAAGAGAGGATGACCATGAATCGCTTCAGTTTCTGTCTCTAAACTCTGTGGAGACTGTCTCTCTCTGTGGAGCTATCCCGCGGCGACTCTGGTCCCTAAGGGGTAGTCCGCAGAGAAGACACGGTGGCACAGTTTGATGGCGGGGTGGGGGGGGGGGGCATTTTGCACTTTCGCTGCTTCACTAGTTCCGGTTTACAAGTCTCACTCTGGTGAAACCTGTGAACTCTTGTGAAGCTGGAACAAGCTCGTTGAGCCAGCATAGGTAAAACCTGTCAGCTCAGAAATGGTTCTCTAAATGGGTCGGCAAGTGGATGGGAAGTTGTAAAAGATCAAAATGCACCCCCCCCCTCCCAACGCCGAGCTGCCCCAACACGGTCCCCCTCTAAGCCTCAGCCTCTTTGGTAATGAATCAAATGGCGCGGCAGAGTAGTTTCCCAGATACGTTAGCGCCACATAGGGTAGTGGGTAATCGAAGAATCGAAGATCAACAACTAGATATTTGATCCTTCAATAGGTTCCCGGACTCTCCAGATCGATACGTATGCTTTTAATGTGCGAATTATAGTGGTACTGGTACAATGTATGAACGCGTCTAATGAAGAGCAAAAAATAGAAATTGAGGCAAAATCGTTTTTCACATCAAGAGGAGTACCAGGTTGTTAAATACAGATTAATATGAACGTGAAACAAAAATACTCACATTTGTCTCAGCAATAATCCGGTCAATTTCCGTGTCCGTTCGTTCGGAATCGCTTAACGTTTCCTGTGATTGAGATTGTGTAGCAGTAGAACCATTTTGTTCATGTTTCTCTTCAATTCTACTATCCCTGAACATACGATTTATTTAGAGCTTGGTCTTCACGAACAAGGGAGAGCGGAAAAGTTAAAACCTACTGTTCCAACTGAACCATCCGATGTATTGCCAACTCTTGAAAATGGTCTTTTATCTTCGAAACAGTCAGAAAACAAATAAGATAACGGCTTCACAGGTGTTGCTCGAGAAATATGATTACGATACCAAGACACAAACCCAACGCGAAATGTAGTAATGTAATAAGAATCTGAGTTTTTCCCCGAGGCTGGAGGTTCAAATAAAGTGATAAATAATCTTCTTGTATCAGAGAACCAGTAGAAGAATGGGATCCTGGACAAAAACACGAGACAAGTCGTCCTTCTTTGTTTCGCAAGCGTGATTAAAGGTCTTGGCGACCATGCTCACTAGGTCGGAAAACTTTGAATGGAGCACACTTTGCGGTCTGGCTGACGTGCAGATCTAAGTTAATGCTGCACGCTTAGCTATGGTATTAAAGACGATTCCGGCAATCACGATATTGCGGGTAGAGGGTGTTTAATTATGAACCAGTAGCCCCCGACTCACATCAAAGTAGAAAAGGAAGCAAGAAAAAACCTTGAGAACAATCAAAACAGAATCCTCCCTGACAATCACACAGCCTCGCTGTACGAGTCCTCCAGGCTTGTTCGCAACATTCCCTACGGATTCTGTGCAACCCCGGCCCACAAATCGTTTTTCGCATCTTCTAGGACCAAATGCCATTCAATGCAAGGGAATAAAAACGAAAAACAACAAAACACTGGAGCCAAACTCGCAACAGCAAGTAACTTTGCGTACGGAAATGAGACTACGGTAAGCAGTGCATGTCGAACTTTTGCAGCAACCAACTGCATCACTATGATTTGAACGAATCTTACTCGGGAACTGGATAGCAGTTGACTATATGTGCTTCTGGTGAAGAAAAATAATGAAGGAGAGCAGAATTACTTATGAGCAATGCGCAGCCGGCAAAAATGAACACGCAATTCTTATTTATTGCCGCCGCTACAAACAGACTACAGCTGAGCGCCACAGCGTTAGGTGCGAGGAGGACGTTCGGGGGGGGGGGGTGGTCCAACTGAGCGGATGTCACAGAACTTTCGACCGAAAGTGGGGCAGTAGCTAAATTTGTGGATTGGGGTGGGTTGGACTGCTTGCACAAGGAAGGACGACCAAGAATAAAAGTACGGGGTCTGTCTTCAAGGCTGCGAAAATTAGTGCCATGGAAGAAGTGAGGCTTTAGGAAAGGTGCCTGGTTGCAAAATGGCAATTATAAAATCAGGACAGTTGCAATCACGCCGTTGCCCAGCACAAGAAGTATAACAGTTGTCTCGGAAGTACCACAGGGAAAACGTATCCTACGCCCGGGAGGTTAACGTGACAACTAGTATTTTTGGTAGGGGTTCTGCTGCGAAAGGCCAGAGCGCAGGGAAACAAAGAACTGCGGCCGCCAAGGCATCGAGAGGTGCAACAAACATATCGCGAGCCGGGAGGCAATTTTCTTCGAAGGGAGAGTACACCGCGGTGGATAGCCACTTATTATGCGTGGAAAGTTGGAATGTGAACGATCACAGCAGTCATACAACATCATGAAGACGTGAGAGCGCAGAGAAAAACAAAAGTTGGCATCATTAGAGGCATTGGGTTTTAGCTGTCCGTAGACCGTGCAGCACACTGCAAGATGTGAGGGGTTGGGGCAAGCGTTGTCGAACGATTTGATTATAAACATCTGGACGAGCATCATCTAGGGGAAACTACTTTAGCGTGGCAATCTGACGCTAGAAGTGAGATGGTCATCAGTGATAAACATGTGCAACACATTCATTCGTCTGAAATCCGATATGGGTCAGAATTTGAGTGGACCTCAGTACAACAGACTACGTTGTAACTTGTCATTGAATACTTTTGTGGACCAAGGATTTAGTTGTGCTGAGAGCTCTGCAATAGGTCAGCTATAAACGTCACAGGAGCTTATTTGAAAGTTGATTTTTCCTGTTTCACGCGCGCTAGCCACATTGTTGCGAGACCCTCACTGGGAAGGCTGCGGAGGGTAATCTTAAAGGTGAAGCCCGCGATCATTCGCCATGACATAGTGGATTCGAGTTTTGGATAAAGAGGCCAAAGCTCACAGTAACACAATAGTGAAGAAGAAAGCAGGAAAAAACGAGACAACTATGCAAGATAAAAC